ATTCAACTTACAATGATGCTCGGTGCTTGATTATTGCTGACACCTGTATAATGTTTTGTGTTAATCTAAATCAACAAAAACAATCATGTTAAAACCAGTTATTAATTAAGGGAAAGTTCGCTAGTTAGCTACTATATATCAGGTTGTGCTCATTATATGTGTGTGTGTATATATGTATATACGCATCAAGGGTTGCAGCTGGCTGGTCTTCAGTTTCATAACTTTCAAATTTTGTGTGACCTGTGATTTCAGGTTCTCTTCTGCTTTCTTGTCCTCTTTTGATCTTCTAGGTTTTTCTGACGCGATCTACTAATTGTTCTCTATATTTGTTTCCTATTTTGATCTTGTAGAGCTTTTTGGCCTTATCAATTGTAATATATACGGCGTATATCTTTTGTTGTGTAGGTATATATATATATATGTATACATATGAGATCAGTCCTTCAGTAGAAAAGAACGACGGAAGCAAATTGTTCGTAAGATATAAATTAGTAGTGTTCCATTTTTGTAAGAATCTCAGCCTGACTGTCACTTGACATGGCATACGGGCTCTCTCTATATATATATATATATATGTAGTGTTCATCTTTTTCAGATCTCCTACCGGCCATGTTCCTGTAGTGTATATATATATATCAACAATATATAGCCCTTCGTGGGTACAAGGGCAAACGAAATCATTCTATTTTCAATCATCATTTACAATAAAATTAATTACAACCAATATATTTTGCTTAATATTAATCAGTAAAATTGTATGTTATATAGAATTCTATTTGAAAGTGAAACAGTTTACAGAAATATTATTTAGAAAAAGAAAATCTAAAGGGGGTTATAACCTTAAACTGTATTGGATATATATATATGGATAAATCATTCATGGCTGCTGAATCGTGTTGGGTAGCATAATGGTGGATGATCCATCAAAGGAATATACGATGGATAAATGTTTTAAAAGGCCATCCATATATTTAGTTGCAAGTATATGGTGGTTTAGGAATATTATAATTATATTATATCTCGTTTAACTATATTATAATTCATGTCTATATATATATATATATATATATATATATTTATGAGTAAAAAATAATATCTATAGAATTACTATATACATATATATTGAAGCTCTTCAAATCAAGACACTTGATTTTTGTTTTTTTTTTTTTTTTTTTTTTTTAGTATATCATTCAACATTATAGATTCATTTTAAACTTTAATATGCTGTCTGATATTGATGCTCAGTGTCATGATTCATAGGTATGTTGCAATGAAGTGCAAGAACGAGTATATACAGATTTCAGACCTACTAATTTGTCTCTCAACTTATTATATAGTAATATTATATAAGTAGTTAATAATATATATACATATATATATATATGTAAGTATATTGCAGCTCTTTAAATCAGAACACTTTATTTTTGCTTTTTAGTAGCTTCCAATTTAGTTTTTTTTCTTTTTGGTGGCAATTTAAAGTGCAGAATTGCCTGCGTATAAAATTGGGATTATTCCCCATTATAGATTCATTTCAAACTTTAATATGTTAATGAATTTGTCTTCTGTTTCATGGTGTTTCTAGTAAATGGAGAACAATATATATACATATATATATATATTACAATTAGTCAGCAGCATTTAACATGTATTTAATGAATTAAAAAGTTAATTGTATTTATCAAATTTTTAGGCATAAACATAGAGAATCTCTGTAAATAAGTTAGTTTATATTTCGAATTTGGTTGAATCCTATTTGATTGTAATTAAGAATATTTTGCTATCAAAATGTGTTTAATTTTTTTTTTTCCAAAGAACGGTGTATGTTAGTGGAATGGGCTGGACGGCATCCCAATATATGAATCTAGAAAAGAGACGAACATGAAGAATTCAGAAGTCAATTTCCGTCAACTTCAACTACAAACTTATCCACCACACACACACACACACACACACATATATGTATATATATATATATATATATATATATGTGTGTGTGTGTATATATACACAAACAAATATGTGGAATGACATTATAATAATAATTTTTTTTTATTAGTGGAAGCAAAAAGATTTTCATAATTAATTATTTCAAGTGTCTCCCACTAGAAAGAAATTGATATGCCAAAAGCACTAACCTTAATTTAGATCAACTTGTCATGTTGAAAGAAAGTAAACACAATCTCTTTTCACTTAATGCTATGTCCCACATTTTAATTAAATTATCAATTGGTTAATCTTCCTCTTTGTGAATTAGTGGGCACTGCTAAAAAGTAAAACTTTCGAGACGCCACATCTCTTTAACCTAATTCAAAACCATTATAATTTGAAAATATATTTCCTAGTTACTCCCATATCACTTCTGTCAAATATAGTTGGCTAATGATGGTACATATATATGGTAATGCTTTATTAAAGTAGACTACTAATTAATAATGATATTGATTTATTACTTAATCATCATAAAATTAAAGACCCGGAAACTAATTAATCTAATTATTAATTAATTGTTAACAACTAAGACTGGTAAGTCTGGTTAATTATTGTTGTATTTTATTTTTAAGATGTTGTCCATTACTTACCCACTTTCATCTATTTTTTTTCTCATTTTAAATTTTTAATACGTAGTTTTTTTTTTCAATACAAAAGAAAAAAAAAATAAAAGAATCTGATAGACCAAGCATTATCAAAATTATTAAGCTAAAGTGAAAGCTTCAAACTTTTTGGGGGGAGAGTATGCAATATGTGTTCTTAACTATAGGTCCTAGGGTTATGAGCAAAGGCACTAACACAAGAATTGTCTTCTTTATGAAGATGTGAGACCCTATCCTCCTAATTTCTTTAGAGTACACACTTAAGCAATTGTTTAATTGAGTTATGCAAAGGAGTTCCATTAGTTAGGCTAGTAAAATGATGAAAATATTTATATCTTTAAAAGCGTGAGTTGTAGTCCTTCAAGGATCTTCCTAATAGCTTTGGAGGTTCTTTCGAGTTAGGGATGCATTGAATTACGGTTGGTTAAAGTCTAAAATACTATGTTGAAGAAAGTACTTAGCCTTGAGAATTTGCACCTATAACTTATCAAACTCTAGTCATTATTTTAATTTCAATTAAAAAGACTAAAAATATAACAATTATGTTTCGCAGATAGGAAATAAAAGTCAATTACTATCTATATATAGTTGTTTATAACTCCACGACTAAAGGCTTTAGACCGTACATTTTCAGGGTGCATCACGTAGATACTAAGTCGACTAGCTTCTTTATATTGGTAGATTTTACTCTAACTCACGAGATAAATTTTCTTTTAACCAACCCTAGATCCCCATAAAAAGTCTCTAATGAGTTTATCTAATTGGTCTAGGATTAAAGAGGGCAGCGAGACGATGGTGCGTAGTGTATGACACAATCAAGCACATGATGGCTTTAACTAGCATATCTTCGCTACCATTATACAGTTACTATTAGTACCTTGCAGTCCTTTTTGATATTTCTACATTAGGATTTTGGAGATTTAGTCAAATTAATTTTTTTTCTAAAGCTGACATAGAAGGTGCCTAGGAATCCTTTCATGGTTTTAATATGTTCATGAGATGCTTCAAAAAATAAGATAAGATCATCAGCAAACCAGGGGGTGTGAAAACTTAGTCTTTTCCCTCTCTATTTTGATGATTTTTATTATTTGCTCTCAACTTTATCGTGAAAAAGTTAATTTATTCTTTCAATATAAAATAAAAGAAGATATAGAGAAAGAGGATTACTATATTCAATGTCTTGAGAATGGGTGAAGTATTCAATAACTTTCTTATTTACAGCAATTTGCAAGGAAGACCAGATATACCACGTTGTCACATCAATCCATCTAAAAGAAAAACTAACCTCTTTGAAGAAGTTCTCGATGAAATCCCAATTCAACCTATAATATGCCTTTTTAGGGTCACTTTGATCATATATAACCCTTTCAGCCTTTTTATTTATATATCAAATGATTTCATGTGTTATGATGATATTATCCATAATTTTGTGCATGACTGAGATCGCAGAAAACTTTATGACAAAAGTAAAACAACCACAATAGAGATTATTTATTGCACAAAAAAAGATATAAAATTAGGACACTACACAATACCTTAATCATAACATCCACCACCAAGTACTATAAGGTTAAAAGGATACTCATTGGTGATGGTAACTCAACATAAATGATTATTTCGGGAGGCTTCTTACCATATTCATTTGCCCATCAAATGACTCAATAAATCTTACCACTCACTGGTAGCATTTGATATTAGCACAACAAAAGTTGAATGACCTATTCCATGTTTCCCACTATCAAAAATTACTATAAACAAGCCACAATTATGCTCGAATGCCTATTAATAAGAATTGGTTTGGCTTATAAAAACATCATCGACTAATTAATTTTATACTCTTTAAGAGCAATTATCTTTATATATCATTTAATATAAAGTTATCAATCTCCAACGACGTAAAGAGAACTCTAAATTATCAACAAGCTACTCCAAACATGATAAAACAAGAGGCGAACAAAGAATCATTAGAAGGAAAATAAATATAACGGACATCATAGATCCTGGAATTGCCCTTAGTATGCACATACGAAGCAAACAAAAGGAGTTTGGAGGATGGGTCAAAGTCCAATGAAATAATTTTTGCTTATTTATAATAGCTCGTACAATTTTTTTATTTTACTACACCAATCAGTGTATAAGAAGACATATAAAGTTTGTATACTAAAATTTATTTGTACTACGAACTTACCTCGCAACTTCATTTGTTTACGAAAATTAACATCATTTTGGTTATTCATTAAATAATTACTTATACTTTCCTGAACGTTTCGTTTATCATGTGACCAACCCAAGCATTGATCATATGGTAAAAAAAAAAACTTGAATTGAAAATTTTATATTCCAGTTATGAACGGCGTACATGTATATCTAACTGGCATAATATAATTAATAAAAGCTGGAGGCAATTAATTAGTTGGAATAATTAGGATTCATTTCCTTTCTCTCCTTTAACACGCTTCTTTTTAGTTATTAATATTTCAATACTAATTAAAATCACTTATACACACAACATACTAATTAATAATTAACTATAAACCTGTTAATCTTTCTTTTCAAAAATGAACTCAACAAATATTTTTACATCTTCCCGCAATCTCCATGACCCTACAATACAAAACAATTGTGGAAAATAAAGAACCCAAAAAGTTTTATCAACAGTGATCGTATCCTCATAGCTCAAACTTGATCACGAAGATCTGCGGAGACTGGTTTTGCCAAGTAAGTAGGATTATCATCGCCGGGCATGATCACAACAATCTTTACATCCATTTTCGTCTCACCCGCCTCTTGCTTCGCTGCAGCAGCTTCACGGTGATGATCAATATTACGATTCCTCGTGTTTTCGGAGGATGATTTTCTGTACGAGCAAGCCAAGATGAACAATGCAGCCGAGATGAGCAATAACATGAATGCCAACCCACCAAACAAGTAAGGCATCGGGGAATTCCATTGCCGGAGTACAGCATCCCCGGTGGCTGAAGTGGAGTTGCTTGCAGCTGGCCTCATAATTTTTCTTGTGGTGTATGATATGATATGATATATGTACTTGGGTGTTTTTTTTTTTTTTTTTGGTTCTGGGGTGAAATGAAAATGAAGGGTTTTGGTATTTATAGCATAGAAATAAAAGGGTAACAGTGAAGGAGAGTGAAAGGATTAGGACAAGTAACAGAAGAAATTTCATTTGAAGGATACCAAATTGCCCTTTACAGTTTTCAAAAGCAAGTGATTCTTTCTTGCCCTCCACTCTCATTCTAATTTTGTAGAATTCATTGGAACCTTCTTTATTTACTTAACAAAAGTTGCTTACATATATATATATATATATATACACACACACACACACGTATAGATATGGTTCCATATTCCAGCTACCTGCCCCCTTTTTCTCTTCACAAACCACGGTTTCATATTGTATTAAATTAATCATGTATGCACTCTCCACTAAAATTATCTTAACCAATTAGAAAAGAAAAAAAAGAAGAACATCTAACATTTTAATCAACTTACCAATATTAGATATTTAAAATATCCACAATTGACAAAAAATCGTTCTATTTTTAAATAATTTTAATTTAATTTAATTTTTTATACATACTAAATTAAATATAAAATTTTTAAAAATACATATTTAAAATCGTATGAAGATAAATTTAATTCATACATTAATACAAAGATATTTAAAATTTTGAAATGATTAATATCAATTATGAAATGGCCTTTGTTATTAAAGGGTATTTAGGGAAATTTCTTAATTTACACATTCATGTTACATGGTTGAAGCAACGAATTGGAGAAAAATGAGTATAATGTGAACAAATGAAAAAAAAGAAAAAAAAGAAACATATATATATATATATATATATATATATACTTTGTGTCATTAAAGGGTTTTCGATAGCTGGTCCCACAAAACGTGTTTATATATTCTTTAATATGGTAGAATTAAAAATATAATATTCTTATTATTTCCATTTTCCAAAAGCAGAAATTTTGGTTTGACAAGCAAATTTCTTGCTTCTTTTTTAATATAACGTATATAATATATAGTTCATTGGTTCGCCTATAATGGAATTGGATTTCCACATAAGTTATTGACAATCTTATATAAACTAAGTAAATAATAATTTTGGGGTTAGGGGATTTTGTTTTATGAAAGTATATGCCTACAAGAAAAAAGAGTTAATATTTAAAAAAAAAAAAAAAAAAATACTCCAATACGTTTACATTTGTGATAAATTGTGCTATATATTTTTTGTAAATTATATCAATTACCCACTTTAAAATATTACAATATATATATATATATCAAATCATATTTGTCTTAATACATTCCGTTGAAATTAACAAAACTTTATTTTTAAAATAATTAAATAAAAGTATTGTTATAATAAAAAGGCAGAGAGATAAAAATTTGAGAAAAATGAGTAAATTGTGTAACGTTTCTTTGCTTTAATACTACTTTTACTTTATTATAAAAAATAGTATATTGTTATTTTTAACTAAAATTATTGACAGAGAATTGGTAATATATCGTAATAATTTAAGGTGCATATTTGATATAATTAGAAAATATAAAATATAATTTGATATAAATTTAAAAATACGTTTTTTACTTTTTTTATATCACCCCATTAATATAAAATTAGCTACCCGTAACTAATGCATTTTATGTACTAAGTGAAATAATTAAAGAAGTAATAAGAACAAAGAATTGACTTTAACCCATTTTTTAAAAAAAAAAAAAAATTAATAATTATATTTAACTAATTTGAAATTGAAAAATCATAATTTTAAATAGATAAAAACCCAAATATTGTTAAATTAGTTTATTAAAATTTTAAAAGAAAATATACTTAATAAGTTATGATATATTTAATATATATTTTTTAAAAATTATGAATTCAATAATTTATTTTATCACCAGAAACACCATATGAACTTAACAAAAAGCCAAGCGAATTTAGAATTGTGAAAAACTTGAAATGTAATCATGCTTTACTTGCAAAGATCATCTTAAGCACTTGATAAATTGCGTTTGTCTCCAATAGCTTGTACGTTAATATATATATACATCTAAAAGATCTATGCTTTTTAAAAAATATTGTTTAAAATAATGAAAGAAAAAACATATAGTCTTATATAAATATTTACATATTAAATTTTTTAAAATATGAACTACTAATGTTGTTTAAATTAATAATTTTATATTAATTGACTAATACTCAAATTATGAATATCAAATAAACCAGTGTACTGAATCTATATACCCTAAACTAGCTAATTAGATAAAACTATACTCACATTTTTTCTTACTAAGGTGGTGCACGACACAGGAAAATATATACATACATATATATATGTATACAGATTTCAAAGTTGTTTTGATTAGTTTTAAAATGTGTGGGATATATATGCATAATATAACAAATATCAAGAGCTATATAAATATTACTTAATGCATATTTATAAAACTAAAACAACTCTGTGGTGGGTTCAAAGGCGTTACATAGCCATCTTGGATTCAATCCAAATGCACTGTGTTTTCCTTTCTGGGCTGCCCAGTATCAATGGGTTATTGAATTTTCACATTAGCCCATTAATTATGAACACCCATTTTTTCATGTAGGATAAATTTTTATCACTTTATAATAAAATTTGTATTGCTTGGTAGTTAAAAGAATTTAGAAATTATAAACGAATTACATGATAGCCTTGATTATCAAGCACAAAAATAAATTGCATATTGAAAAAGAAATTGATATATTCCAAAAAGGAAACTTATATAATACATGCATTTACAAGATATATAATCATTTGAGTATCATGATAATTAACACAGAAACTAGAAACAAAATTACCCAACATGCATACAATATGAGAATACATATCATTACCATCACAATCATCATCTCTAGCATGCATAGTAATGGTTTGGTGTATATATGTTGAAGAGGAGTTAGAAGGAAGGAACAATACCATATCCAGTATCAGCAGCAGTCAAGGGTGTAGAGAAGATTTGGTCAACTTCAAGATCAACATGATCTGTTCTTTTAGCAAACCTACCTTTGATTCTTGGCCTTGTCTCTGCATAAGCTTTTCTTGAAGCATACCTTATTGTCTTCTCAAACTTCCTTGTCTTCTTCTTCTCTCTGTATCTCAACACTCTTGCTTCCCTGTCCAATGGACTCAGTTGAGTTGCTACTGGGATCTGATTTGGGTTCCCACAGAATAGGTCTATTGTCCCTTTTGGAGGCCTCGTGTGTGAAACCGATATCTCGCTTATTCCTGATTCCGGCACTACTCCGACTTCCATTGACGACATTGATACCTAATTTATTCAATATATGAGTATGGAAAAACACATTAGTTCACATTATACACATAACTTACATATCTATATATCTATAATTATCTAAACCTGAGAATATATTTCTTTTTTTTCTAATTCAAAAAAGAACACCACTGCGCCTTTTCTTTTTTTTTTTTTCTCTAATCCCTCTGTTAACTCTTCTTTGTTTTAAGTTGTGAAATCAGTTTATACAGATTTTCACAGAGTATGTGATATTCTATGGCTTACTGAATGGGACATAGTTATATTGGAGCAAGAGTTCCTACATAAGTGCATATATGTGTATATGTATATGTATAAAAAATAGATAACAACCCACACATATTTATAATATACATAGTCTAAAAGTAGTACAAATATGTGAGGAAATTAGGAATCAACTAAATCTAAGCAAATTCCATTAGTGTCAAAACTTGAACTGGAATACTCACAAATCCCAATATATATATATACACACACACACACAGATATACAGGAGCAAAAATCCAAGACCCATTTCAAGAGTTCCATGTCAGTAGTTTTTCTTTCTTTAATTTAAGAGTATTCAAATATTGAACCACTGCACCTGTAGTGATTAGAAAAGCTTACACTGTGATTAATTGAACCACTGTACGTGTAGTGAGCTTTTGAGGGTTCATAGTCCAACCCTAACTGAAAATTATGGTGGTGAAACTGGTGATGACCTTCTGCACATTGAACAGGCACTACACTGTCACCTCCATAGCTACTACTCTTCTCCATTACTGCAACACCAAACTGCTGTTGTGGATGGAACTGATTCTGATCACCTCCGCAATTATACTCCACCAAATCCAAATACTCATCCACCTGATCCCCACCAAACAACAACCCATTACTCTGGTTATTATTACTGTTCTTCCCTGGATTCAGCAGTAGCCAAGAAGCTGCCTCCTCTTCTTCTTCTTCCCCAATTCCCTCCTCGGTTACAAATCCATCATCCGTCGTACCCATCTCATCGCCTGGCTCACTGGCTGGACCTCCGTAGAGGCAGCCGGAGATGGGAAGAATTGGAACCCGCTGGTGGCGCCGAGCAAGTGGGTTGGCGGAGTGGATGTCGGCGTCGCAGCTCGCACAGAGAGATGCTGCGTCCGCTTTGCATAAAAACGCTGCGGGCGCTCGCTCGCAGGACTCGCACACCCAGACGCGCTCATGGCGGGAAGCCACACGGTTGGCGGCGTGAACTCGAGCGTCGCAGTTTGCGCAAAGGTACGCTGAGTCAGCCCTGCAGTAAACCGTGCAAGCAGCTGAACGACACGTGTCGCACATGCGGGCCCAGTTGTTTTCTCCTCCTCCTCCTCGGCCGCCGCTGCCACCGTCGCTAATCTCCTCCTTCAACATTGTGAGTCTGAAAATGGGTAATGAGTGAGTAGGGGAGGAAGTGGGAGTGAAAGGAGGGAGGAAAGAAATACAAGGTGGGGATGAGAGAATCTAGAGGCTGACACGTGGCTATAAATTAGTGGTGGTAAAAGGGTATTGCATTATCTAGTGGTTGGCTGAGTTTTTCTCGTGGGTCCCAGTTTCGGGGGAAAGTGAGTGGGGCCCAGATTTTGCTTCCTTGGCTCTTGAAGAGGTCAAGAGTTTCATAGTTGCAAGTGCACCGTAGTCTGTCAAGTAGACAACCTGTGTACTCGCTCGTCGGTTAAGACGCGTGTCGTTTCATAATCTTTAGTGGCCCATGGAAAATGGCCGGTTACACGTGTCAGTGAAGATAAGGGGCAAGTTGTTTGATCGTTGAAGACGTGGCACTGCGCTGTTATTTTCACACTACCGTCTTCTCGTTGGGAGAAAAAAACTGCCAGTTTCCGAAAGAATTAAAAGAAAAAAGGATCATAAAGCTGTGTGGGATTTGAAATGTTCGTTTAAATTTCAAATAAATTTTTTTAAAAGATAATTATTTTATATTAGAATTTTTATCTTATCCTAATTAAGTAGAGACAAATTTATATCTATGGTTAATTGGTCATTAGCTAACTTATTTTAACCTATTATATTGTTTTACTCTTCAAATAATCTCAATTTTATTTTTCTAACTAACTATTTATATTTTACTCGTAATATTATTTCTACTATTCAAAAAATATTCTTTACTTACATATATCAATTATTAATTTTTTTACTAGTAAATAATTATGACCATATACTAAAAAGGTCCTTAAATATTTATAAAAATACATCATATTCTCTAGTAACCCTATTGATGCTAACTTGTGCATGTCTTATCTGTCAAGGTGGTGTTGACGTGGAACCAAACAGTCATTTTTAAAAAGCTGACTCAGACAACAATGCGTTAATTATTCGATTATCCAATAGGATTCTGCCACGTAAGTAGTTAAAAGATTAGAACGCACCTCCGCCACAAGTTGCCGACTCAAATAAGGCCGAAGCCAACACTGATCTGATCCTCCCCCTCTCCCCCAACGTGACCTTAAGGCCACTTCATCTCCAGTTGTGGGTGTCCTTTAATCTGCCCCAGCCATCAGTACATATACACACGCACCATCGCAAATGCAAGAGAACCCATATTAAGTTGAGGGATTTTTTTGAATGAATTTATAATTTTAATTCGGATTTTGTAGTATAAAATAATTTTCAATAATTCTGTGGTAATTAGTTAATAATTATTAGTGTTTTTTGGTCATTATTAAAATAATTTTTGTATTAAGTTAATACGATCGTACGGTAGAATTACAAAATTTTTATGGCTTCATATCTCTAATTTACTCTTGGATTAATACAACCAAAATATTTTTAAAAAATATAAATTTATCTCTTGGTAGTATAAATGGGCTTGAAATCAAAGACGATGATGGGCTCCATTTTTTGTCTTTAAAATAAATTTGGGCTTTATTAATGAATTTGGTCTGAGTCAAAATGGATTTTTGGATGAATTATTAATGAATTTGATTTTAAGATGTTTGGAAATTTAAATGAATGAATGAATGAATTATAAAAAGAAATTAAAGTTTTTAATTCAATTTTTGTACTTTATGTATTTATGTGTATTTTTATTTTATGAAAAATATGTATGGATTGTATATTTGTGAAATAATTAAAGTATTAAAAAATAAATTTTTATGGGTTTTATTTAATGAAAATATGCGCGTATGTATTTATGTGTTAAGTGAACTATACACTATAAATACTTACTTATAATACATTTTAATGATATAAGGAACGTAACAGCGACAATAATAATATTATTTATTAATCTTACTAATCATGCACAAATCACAATATTTATTTCAAGCATAAAATTCAATTTATTGGCTCATATTTATTCTTCAATGAAAAATTATCATATGGTAAATTTGAAGAACCTAACATCTTTTAAAATTTTGTTCTTCGTTATAATTCGGTATCGATATTTTTTATTTGTTTCACACTTGAGATTGATTTTTATTTTCTAATAAAAGAAAATTTTAAAATAATTAGAATAAGTTTAAACATTATAAAAAGTAGCTCAAACTAATAATTTTAAATAATTAATAAGATGGATAAATTAATAATAATTTTTAGGTCTGTTTTTTATTTATATTAATTTTTTAAATTTAATTAATTAATTAAAGTTATTCTTTGGAACAGTTTTTTAAAATATTTAATCATGATAAGACTATTTTAAACTTTGAATGTTAAAAAAAATAAAAAATTGAATATTTAAAATAAATAAAAATAAATAAATCATAACAAAATAATATTAAAGACTAAGTTGCAGTAAGTGAAAAATTTTACAAACTAATTTAATAATTTACCTAAGAATTTTGAATAACTAATAAATTTTAGTATTTGAGTAAGAGCTCATTTATAATGTTGGCATAAATTATTTTGCATATAAAAGGTTATGTGACAGCCCAAACTCTCGTTCAGAGTCCTGACCGTATGCACACTATATCATGATAAAAGAATTTATAGTAATATTTTACGCAACAATTTTAAAATAATAAAAAGTACATCTCGTATATGTTTAACTCAAAATATGCAGTGTTCATGAGACATATCTAAACTCTAAAATAAAAACTCACTAAAAATAAAATGATTAATATTAAGTACTGTTCGAATCGAAATAAATCTCTTAGCAAATCTTTCACTGTTTATGAGCAGAGTTCTAAGTATTCTGATATGAAAGAAATGAATAATAAATAGAGTGAGTTTAATATACTTAGTAAGCGTGTAGTACCAATAAATAGTAGAGTAATATGTCAAAGTTGGTAGAAAACGTAAAACTACCGACGGAGATGGTTCAAAATACTTTCTCTTTAATTTAGAAAACATGTGATATCTATACCCTACTTCATTAACCAAATCGTATAAATCAGTTTATTTAGTAAACATTCAAAATTCATTATTTCAGTATCATAGCTTATGACATAAACAATTCAATAAATAACATCATTCAGTATTTAATATCACAATTTAGACAGTAAGCAGTTTAATAGATACTAATTTAGCATTTTAGTATCATAAATGTTACACACGACTTCCTATTCATTTTTATCGGCTTGTATCCTATAAAATATTTTCACCACGCGATGCCATTTTCGTTTGTATCAATGAAAGCAGCAAAGATCCCATCTACCACATGAATACGTCAATATTCAATTCACAGTTTGCAGTTTGTAGTACACAGTATACAGTTCACAATTTTTATCGATTCGCCACGTTTGGCTAAAGTCATATCTACAAGTAGGGTTCACCACAGTGACATGCCAAAAAGCTACACACACACATACCCATCGGTGATATCGGTTGAATGAGCTTTTCAAATCTTTTAATGTCTATCTATTTATTTTAACTTACAGATAAATTTCTTAATTTTTATTATTTAATATATTCTATACCTATAACACACATACTGTAACTATTCATCCACTTAAACTCTTCTAAATATCCCTAATATACTCTCAATTACATAGAAACCTGTACATATATGAATTCAATTACCAAAATATAACAAAATGATTTATCAGTAATTTTAATAATAAACATAAATAGGAACACAACATTCAACAGTAAAATCTCGTCGGAATCCTGCGCCTAATTATCAATTATTAAATGCCATAGTTTTAATATCTTAGAAAGATTAAACTACATTTGAAAGCGCTTACACACTTACCTAGTTTTCATTCGTGGATCTACTTCGCAGAAAAGTTCCCGAATGCTAAATACAATCGTGCATAACCACCCAAAAGACATGTCGTTGCACGCTGCCACACAATGTCACTGGAACAAACACGCGTCGCCATCAGAAATCGTCACGCGCTACTGCTGAATCACCACATGTCGCCATGAACTAACTAAAATCGCACCAAAAAATGGTGCGGATGCACAAAATCACGCTTTGGCTGTGGTACTCTGATCTCCTTCCCCGACATTACTCTGTTGCGTACAACTTCATTCGTTCCTCCTCATTTTCCTTATTCTCCTTCCTCCTATTCTCTCTCGGCCGCCGACTAATAATAGTCGCGACCTTTCTCTCTCTATTTTTTTTCTCTCTCGATTCCTGCACTGATCACCTTCCCTCCCTTCGTTTTTATAGGAAGGCGCGGGAGGAGCCTTGCACGACTCTTCTTCTTCGTCGTGCAAGTCTCCTATCCTCTTTTTCTGGCCGATGGCAGAGGCGTAGACTCTTCTGCCTCTTCACTTTCCCTGACCAGAGGCAAACACGCCTCTAGTTTATCTTTTTCCCTCTCCTCTTACCTAAAACGATGTTGTTTTGGGTCTATTATAATCCCTCTTCCTTAGAAAAATTTGGTCCTCAAAATTTATTTTATTAATATAAAATATCCTTATATGAAGTTAATTTAAATTATAAAACATTAAATAGATGGGGATACTTGTCTCGAAATTCTGTTTCTATCTCCCAAGTGGCTTCCTCTTGAGTATGGTTCCATCACAAAACCTTGACTAGGGGAATCACTTTATTCTGAAGCACCTTTTCCTTTTGGTCCAAGACAGTGACATAAACTTCTTCATAGGATAGATCCTTCTGAATTAAAAGAGGCCTGTAAGGTATCACATGAGATGGATTAGGATTGAACTTTCATAGCATTGATACATGGAATACGCTGTGAACTCGAGATGCTAGTCGATAGGCGGTTGCTCTAATTCTCGCTAAAACTTCAAATGAGCCAATAAATCAAAGGCTTAACTTTTCTTTCTTTCCGAATCTACTGATGCCTTTGAGAGACGTGATCTTCATAAAAACATGATCACCTACCTCGAATTCAAGGTCCCTTCTTCGGTTATCCGCATAACTTTTCTATCTACACTAGGTGACCTGAATGTTCTTCATGATCTTATCAATCTTTACAGTAATTTCGTCTATTAACTCTAGGCCAGTTAACTTCATTCCCCAACTTCTTATCAGCAGATTGGTGATCTACAGGGTCGGTCATACAACACTTCATAGGGGGTCATACCAATGCTTGCTTAGTAGCTGTTGTTATAAGCAAATTTTATTAATGACAATGGTCATCCCAAGATCCGTCAAAATCTAAAACACATGCTCATAACATATCCATCAATGTGCGAATGGTTCTCTCTGATTGCCCATATGACTGAAAATGAAAAGTAATGCTAAAGGATAAC